ATTATTTAAATCATTCAAATCGGATGCTTAGTTCTCTCAAAAACTGTCAGTGCCTTGTCAAAACCTAATCACCACTTCTACCCTCATTACGAATCGAATGTTTTTTTGGATTATTGAAATCGATTGATTGATTGATTGAAATGATTGACACTTTTTGCTCTATATCTCCGAAGCCACTGGAACTGTCTTCGTCAAAAACTAGTCTCCCCATCAATAGAAATCGATTTTTTTTAACCATTCATATCAGATATTCCGTACGCCCGAAATCGTTGACGAAAAACTGTCTCCACACATACACACACACAAACACGCACACATTCATTTTTTCTGAGGTATGTCAAAATGTTCAGAAACTTCTCAAACGTGAAGATATCCAAAATTTTTCAATTCTTGGGCCATTACTATAACTAACCCTACGGAAAGTTTAAAATGAGGAAATTTTCAGTTTTATTAATTTATATTGTATGAATAAAATAAACAAAACAAATGAAAAAAGGAAGGTTTTGAATAAAGTAATCAGTATTTGTGACTTTAAGCAAATATTCTAAAAAGTTCAATAATTAGAGACTTTTAAATAAAACTAGAAGCAGCAATTCAAAAAGCCGCTTTTCTTGGAAACAAGCTTATAATCTGACAACTTGAGTGACAAAAGTAAGAAACATAGTATACATCTAAAAAAAACATTGACATTTGTTTTTTTTTTTCATTTTTAATTTTATACTGTAGCCAAATTTGTTAAATACTATTAAACGTTAAATTAGATAAAAGCAATAAATTTTTTTTTAATTTCTTAATGAGCTTTTTGAAAATTTATTGGTGTGGTATATTGTTTACAATGATCATATACTCCATCACTGCTTAAAGATGGATTCTTTGATTTAATATATTTTATTCTTGCTTACTTCAAGTACCGATTCAATCATGAAACTTAAAACCTTTCTTAAAATTTTTTCAGAAATATACCATTTTTCTTCTTTTCTTGATCGACTATGTGAAATTCTACAAAATTAATGATTTCAATTCTTATGTGTAGGTAATCTGTTGCAAGTTATCAATCACCTGCATATTTATTCATTACAGTATTTTTTATTTTTAATATAATTTTGTAAATTATTATGCCTAATGCAATAATGCATTAGGCACTTTTTTGTCTGGTTTCAAATAGATTCAGACATTGTTTGAGAAAATAGAGATACTGTAAATTTGGATGGAGATTCAAGAAATATTTTTTGTTGTCAAGATAACTTTTTTTTCTATTATAAAACTAAGATTTATGGTCTTCTGACATGTCGTTGCTGGTTATATAATATTCTTGCAGGTTGTAAAATGGAACATAAATATATAAGTAATGCGTATACTTATTTAGAGACATTGTAGAGTGTGTTATTTTTCAGTAAAATATATTACTATGTAGGCTATATTAATTTCTAAAAATAATATTATAATTTATTTACTATTAGTTACTGGTAATACACAATTATTTAACACATTAGTAAGTTTATTTTTTATAAATACATATATGTTTTTTTTAAGTTTAAGATTTTTTAACTTATTTACAATGTTATTTTAAAATTAACTACAATAAAAATTTGAGTTTTAAGTAATTGATTAATTATTGTTTTAATTATACTTTCCTCAAAAAACTTTATATATTTCTCTTATTTCAACACTGAAACAAAGTCATAAATTGTTTTGACCCTTGCCAGAAATGCCAGAAATACCCTTATCCATATTTTTAATAATTTTTAATTTATATTTACATATTCATTTTTAATTTATCATTACATATATAACAAATTTAATAGGTTACTTTTACATTTACTAACTACTAAAAATAAAAATTTAATTAAATTGACGAAAAACTGATTACATTTTGCGAAGGCAATTCCAGCGACTTCGGAGATTAAAACAGCCACTTGGTTGTTAAAAATGATCATTACAAATTATTATTAATTTAAATGAATATTTATAAAGTAGAATATTTGAATTATCATTTTCTTCACCTTTTGCTGCAATTTAATAATGAATTCCGAATCGGCTGAACCTGCCAAATCTAATTTGCACTATCCGTCATTAGGAATCGAATGCTTTTTGAAACATTTAAAATAAAATTGTTTCCACACATATATACATTGATACACATACATTTAATTTTTCTAAGGTATACCAAAATATTCTGAAGGTAATCTAAAGATATACTGAAATGTAAATTTTTATTTTGCAATTACTATACGAGTAACTTACCTACGCAAAGTTAGAAATATATATATATATTTTTTTTTTAAATTCTGATTTGAAGGAAATATTTGAATAAATTTTATTGCATCGCATCAGGATGATTATTTTTTTATAACGATCATTTATTTCATTTTTTTTTTGAAAAAATCCTAACATTTCCTTCTGGCAAACTATTCTCTATATTTTATATTCTACTTGCAAATCGCCATGAATTGACATTGAATTCATACAAATGTCAGTTTTCATCATTGAATTTCACGAGACGTTTGCTTTACAAAGACGTGACAAATTTAATAATGAATTCATTGCAAATAAATAAACTATTCAAGATTATAAATATTTTAGCCATTGGAGACAAAATATGCTCAATATAAATTATATTTGTCTGACTTCGATTAATTTCTTGTTTAAAAACACATAAATTGGCAACTTTATCTATTACGTATTTTAATGATTGGAAGAGTTCATGTTTGTTTTGATTATTGAAAATGATTTGATAATCATGTTTATTATTTCTTAATTTTTGTTAGATATACATGTTGTTTTAATAGCAGAAGTTTAATTTATATAATATGAAGTGCTAATGATTGCAAATAGAAATTTAGTGAAAAATTTAATAAATACTTATTTTGAAACTGTGGTGAACTTTAAGTGCAGTATCATGTGCTAAGGGAAAGGTACTATATAAATTATTTATGTAGATAAACTATTAAAAAATTAGATTTCCATGAATTATCTAACAAAATTAAAATCTGAACAAAAAAATAATAAAATCTGCAGGACTATTTGATTACACACTGAGCCGCTTTTTCGCAAAATACAAACAAAATTGTGTTATCCCTTTACCAAGCAAAAAAATATGACTGCCAAAGGATTATTACATGGAAATTTAATAACTATAAAAAAAAAATCGAACTTAAAATTAAAACCTAATGTTCGGTCGTTGATCTTTTTAATAATTCGAGTTAAACCAGTTGCATCGGTTCGGAGAGTTTTTGTTGCTTTTATTTTTTATTTTCATCATTATCAAATGAAAGCCGGTTTTGTATCAGTTTCATATTAAAACATTTTACCATAAAATCATTAAAGATATTGTAAGTGAATATATCGAGGTAGCTAATGCTGTAAAAAGACATTTAAAACGTTTTTATTGCAATTGATAATACTATAAATTACCAACACAATATCATTCTAATTTTATGGCGTTATAAGCAATTAAATTTTATTACTTGCATGATTTATATGAAATGATTGAGATAAATTGTTCTAAGGTAGCGCCTGTAAGACAGTAGTTCTATTTAACAGCAATTATTGAAATACACAATTGTAATTTCATCATTTTTGTATGTGTAATAAATCTTCTGCATGTAATACGATCTAGGATAATCTTCAAATTTACAAAATATATAAAATGACAGATTTACGAAACTGCGTTCTAAATATTTATGTAAATTACCAAAGGTGTGGTATATTTAACATTTACTAATTTAATTACTTTTTTGAAAAAATGAAGACCCTCAATTTTAATTTGGATAGAAACAATTAGAATTAAAAGCTCATACTTACCGAATTTTTAACGTTAAAATTTATGAAATAAAAATTGCAACAGTTCTACCAAAATTAATGGTTTTTAAGGTATCCAAAACCGTTCTTCTCTTAAATTAAATATTCATCTCTTAATTTTTTTCAGAAAATTATGCATATGTATATATATAAATCGAAGAAATACAATGTTACGATGATCAGTAAATTAAAATAGGGTAGGGCGGGGTACAAAGGTCCAATTTGACTTTGAGCAATTATATTGTGAAAACCAAACCAATTATATTACAGCAATTACACACATCAAACAAACAACTATCTGACTATACTCAATAAAATTCCCAGGTAATTCATAATTGTAGAAATGTGTTTTTTTGCTGTTTTTTAAAACATCATTGCCTTGTTCTTTTTACCCCGTAGGCGGTACTCCGAACCCAGTCCCCTTTCAATTTTAAAGGGATTTTACTAAATAAAAGCTTCGTTATTCAACAAATGCAAAATATAAATTTCTTGGGTGCATTTTTTACAGGGATTACACTGTATATAACTCTGATCTGGTATTTTGTTTACCTCTATATAATCTATTCTATTTATTATTTACAATATTTTATTGTGTGCATCTGTGTCAGTGTAATGGCTCAGTTGATCCTTTTTACCCATTTTTAAGTTTTTATAAAAGCTATTTGAAAGAAGTGTTGAATCTAACTTAACAATACACGTTATAAAACATTTCAATACCTATTTGATAATTTTATTAGGATGTTGTAAATTAAACAACAGTGTTCTCAACCAAAAAAATAAATTCAATATATCAATGAGCTTACCCAAAGACAGTGATTTTTCCTTGGTACAAAATGTGCTATGTAAAATGCTGCAGAACTGAATCCCATGTCTTCTATTTCTTCATATCGAAAAATATGTCTTTTTGTTATCTTAAAATAAGCAAGAACCAATGAAATCAACTTAGATAATGTCATCAAGAAATTCTGCGCTCTTATGTCATCTAATTGATTTTTAATATTTAAAGATTATGAAATATAAGCAAATTGTATTATTTTATCTTACAATCAGCAATAAGTAGGAAGTTGACAGATTATACGGAAAGAACCGGACTATAATATTACATTTTTCACATTCAAATGCCCATTATTAACACATTAAATTCCATTTTTGCAGGAAAGATTAAACAGAATCTAGAAATACTTAATCAGAAGACTGAATGATGAGGCTGATTTTGTGTTCGGCGCTATTTGTGGCGCTGGCTTTTGCTTCGGATCCAAATTTGGAGCAAGAAGAAGTCGAAGCCGCAAGTTTTTTGCAATCAATTGAACAACCTAATATCGATTGGAATTACAGGCTTTCAGAAGTGGCTTGGGCATATGCTACAAATATCACTGACGAAAATTCAAATAATGAGGTAAGTGGAAGTCAAGCCTTAAAGCAAATTACTGTATAACTGCCCGTACCGTCATTTAACATATTTAAAAGCTTCAAATTATTTTGAGAATAATTAATTTTTTCAGAGCGGCGTAGCTATTTTAGAGACGAAATATCGAAGCGCGTATGCGCCACCGTCTAACGGTACGGACCCATAGAAACGTAAACAAAATTTGTAATATTTATAAAAATCTCTATAAAATATCTGATAATATGATGTGCATATGTCTAATGATAATTTTTGATTGCCTTATTGCATTTTTTAATTGGTTCGTCGAAACCACTGGCTGCCTTTTCAATAATTTAACAATTTCCTCATTCCATCAATATAAGTAAAATGTTTTTAGAATAATCCAAATCGCACACTCCGTTCTAGCAAGAACTGCTTTGGGAGCGTCCATTAATCACGTGAGGTTTATTGGAGAAGGGGGGGGGGGTTGACAAAAAATCACGAAATATCAAGTGGGGGAGGGAGGGGTATAGTAAGATATCACGTGTATTTATTTTTTAACTGACTTTTTTTAAAAAAATCAAACATTCTCAAACAAATTCAAAAAATTTACAGTTTTATCACGTAACTAAAGGGGGGTTAATTTTGAATAACACCATGTATCACCAATGGGGGGGGGATTCAAAAATCCTTAAAAACCCGCTCACGTGATTAATGGACGCCCCCTTTGACATTTTTTGCACTTTTTGCCCCGTACCTTCTAAACGCCCAACCTGCCTTTGCCTAAAACTAATCAGTACGTCAAAAAGATTTCTCATACTTGATTTAAAATCTAATATTTCAAATCATAAATTGACAATTTTTATGTGTTTCCTACAGTTTGTTGAACCATATTTAAACTAGTTGGTTTGGTATTTAGCCTTGAGGCAAGTTACATGAACTTCCCGATATGTGTAAATAAGCGACTTAATCAAAAAAATGTGTAAATAATATACTTTATCAATCCTACTTTCAAAAAAAACGATAATAATTTTAGCAAACTTTGACGAATTTGTAAAATTAAACTACTTGTCGTAAGGCCATAATATTACAGTAAGTTCTATAAGACCATGATGTATATCGCCAAAAAAAAGTTCCATGAAAATCGGCTTAAATTTTTTTTTCAACAGTTAATTACAAGAAAACGGCTCGGTAGATTTTCACCTAAAATTAATCAGTATCATTCCCAACTAATATCTTTCGAACAGTTTTTGATATTTTAAAATCGGTTCGGTAGGATGAGCTTAAATATCGACGAAAATTTAACACTTTTTTTCAACAGTTAATTACAAGAAAACGGCTCGGTAGATTTTCACCTAAAATTAATCAGTATCATTCCCAACTAATATCTTTCGAACAGTTTTTGATTTTTTAAAATCGGTTCGGTAGGATGAGCTTAAATATCGACGAAAATTTAACACTTTTTTTCAACAGTTAATTACAAAAAAACGGCTCGGTAGATTTTCACCTAAAATTAATCAGTATCATTCCCAACTAATATCTTTCTAACAGTTTTTGATTTTTTAAAATCGGTTCGGTAGGATGAGCTTAAATATCGACGAAAATTTAACACTTTTTTTCAACAGTTAATTACAAGAAAACGGCTCGGTAGATTTTCACCTAAAATTAATCAGTATCATTCCCAACTAATATCTTTCGAACAGTTTTTGATTTTTTAAAATCGGTTCGGTAGGATGAGCTTAAATGTCGTCGAAAATTTAACACTTTTTTTCAACAGTTAATTACAAGAAAACGGCTCGGTAGATTTTCACCTAAAATTAATCAGTATCATTCCCAACTAATATCTTTCGAACAGTTTTTGATTTTTTAAAATCGGTTCGGTAGGATGAGCTTAAATGTGGACGCAAAGTTTTTTCGAATTACAAAGAAACGGCTTGTCAGATCGTTGCACAAAACTGACAAACGATAGTCCTCACCGAAATACATCAAATGGCTTTTAAATTTCTAAAATCGGTTCAGGCGTTTTTGAGAAAACGTCGATCAAAAGTCTAATTTTGACAAATGCCAAAAAGACCATACTGATTTTTGCAAACTTTGACGAATTTTTAAAGCTGAACCAGTTGTCGTAAGGCCGTAATATTTTAGTATGATCTAGAAGACTATGGTATCTATCGTCAAAAAAATAATCATAAAAATCGTCGAAATTTTTTTTTTTAAAACTTTATTACAAGAAAACGGCCCGGCCGATCTCTACCAAAAACTAATCAGCACGATTCCCAACCAATATCTTTCGAACGGTTTTTGAATTTTCAAAATCGATTCAGAATTGCGGGCTAAAACGTAGACGAAAAATTTTTCACTTTTCTACCATTTATAAAGAAACGGCTTGGCCGATCGTCGCACAAAACTGACAAACAATAGTTCTCGTCGAGATACATCGAATGGCTCTTAAATTTTTGAAATCGACCCAGCCGTTTTCGAGAAAACGTCGATTTACGGCAAAAAATCTATTCACATACACACACACACACACACACACACACACACACACATACTTTTTCCAAATTTGGTCTCATTCGATTCCGAATGGCTTGAAACGTCGAGAAAACATAAAATTAGCGAATCGGATTTTTTGATGAAAACATAAACTTCTCCTTCGGGAAGTTAATAAGAATTCGAATAATATAATTTTTGATAAGATCCTGTTATAGATATGTTATTGCATAAGAATGATTACTTTGATCTGTATAAAAAGTTTTACTAATCATGATCTGAAGATAAGCCAATTTTTGTAGTCATCTGGAAAATTTGCTTTATATAGATTGGATGATTAGATAGTTGGAATTTAAACATAAATTGAAATTTTACGTAGATCATATGCTATCAAATATATCGTGACAAATTATATATTTTTGATGATATATGTTGTTACGAGTAATCTTGAGAATTGCTCTTTAATATATTACAAAGCTTATCAAAATGCTTTCTGAAATTTCAATGGTTTTGTTTATAAATATTACGATTAAAATGTGAACTATGACAATTATTATTAATAAAATTGTTTACTATTATTTTCAATATGCTAAAAATATAATATCTCCTCCTATTTTCCTCCTCTCCTCCTATTTTCATTTACAATATAATGTAAAAAATTAAAATTTATTTGGTTTGAATTTTAGAATATATTCTTATAATTAATACGAATGATATTATAATGTGCCTGTTAAAAAAGTAATTTGGTGCCGATGTTAAAGAAATAAATCTTAATAAAATATGAGAATAACAGTAAAAATATTAATTATATAATTAAAGAATAAAAATCAAATACAATGAGTGCAAGGTTGATACAAGTTCGATTACATTCAAATTCGATTAGTATAAATAAGTAATAAGAAATTGAATGATAAATTGTAAAATCATATACTTTTTTCCTACAGAGCAAATTAAATGCAGAACATGCAGTTTATCAAAAAGCACAAGCTTTGCAAGCTTCAAAGTTCAATTGGCGTCAATTTTCCAACGAAGATTTAAAAAGGCAATTCAAATTCCATACTGATCTTGGAGATGAAATTCTTCCCGCAGAAAAATATGATCGTTTACAAGAAGTTTTGAACAAAATGAAGACAAACTATGCTACAGGAAAAATCTGCAGTTTTCATGATCACGAAAAATGTGATTTGGCCCTTGAACCAGGTAATTCAGTAAAATATAATTTTTTTTACTGATTTTTCAATTATCTCATACAGTTAAAGTTCAAAGCAATGTAATAATGTACCAACTCATATTATTTATAACAAGACAATCATTTTAATTTGTAAAACTAATTAATAAATTAATTTATTTTGATATGTGTGTATATAAAATTATATAAATTGCATATCATATACAGTATCTAGTATTTATTAAAAGCGATCTTAAAATAAAACCACATGGCTTTTCCAAACAAAGATATCAAATTGCACCTTCTCATGAAATCGAATATATATTTTCTTGCAACCGCTTCTCTATATGTGTTGTTTTGTTAAATAATTGATCCTTTTCGTTTCAGAAATAACTGAAATATTCTCTAAGAGTCGAGATCCAGAGGAATTAAAATATGTTTGGGAACAATGGAGAAAAATTGCAGGAGCTCCAGTCAGAGACTTATATACTGAATATGTGCAACTGAAGAATGAAGCTGCCAGATTAAATAGTAAGTTATAAAATTGTATGAGTTTAAACTATATAGAAACAAATTACTTATACTCATTATGCGATAAAAGAAAATAATTAGCTTCATGAATAACCTTAAGTTACTTATAAGTAACAAACATTTGGCTGTTCAATATATCGTTCCGAATATTTTGAAAATTTATTGAATTTTGCGTACTGCGGTATGAAGTGGCAATATAAAATACTTAATAGCACTTTTTATATTTTCTTCTGTTATTATTTATTAACTTTGCATAAGTTAAATAGTACCTAACTACTAATTACCAATAAATAATTTATGAAAAAACATTTTAGTTAACCTCTTGTTTCGAATTAGCTCATACTGTTTATCATTAATAAAACATTTGAAAATTTGAACCAATGTGATATAAATATCTGTCGGTTATTGTAAAATTTAATCTGGTCAGTTATAAATGCAAATAATGGTAGTGATTAGGCTTCGATTTCTATGTTCTTAATTTTAGTCGCAGTCATTAAATTAGGCAGTTTTATTTATTAATTATGCTAGTCATACTTACGACACCTTCTGTAACACCTTTGCAATTGCGATCAATTCTTATCTTATTTCATCTATATAATATCTGTGTATTTCATTATATTATATATACGAATAAGAAAATATGTCATCCGTATTATCAAATAACAAATTGGTTGTTATTGTTTTTTCAGTATCAAATATCTTCTTGAAAAACCAGATTTTAGAAGATTAACTTATCCAGAGGCACGCGCCAGTTAAGATATCTTTCTTTAAGATTAAGATCACAGAAACAATATTTTTATCGGGTTTCAATTTATCATATTTATTTAATTTATAATATAAATTTGTTTTACAAATTTGAATCCAATTGTGTTATTCAAATTTTTGTATGTTATAATAAAAAAATAATTCAAATAAAATGTCCCTAATTATGAACATGAAAATAAGCATTCATGATTATTTAAACTCTTTAGTAAACTCTTTTATTTTTGATACAAAATCAAAATCGGATGAATAATTTAATACATTTTAATACTTTTAATTATTTAAATTTTCCAACTGATAATAGAAAAGTATATCGTTTATTCAATCTGCATTAGTTAGTTTTGTTATTTGAATCTAATCAAGTCATTGACAATAACAAAACTATTATCTTTGATAATAATAAATGACAAATACGCTATATTTAGAATATATTTTTTAAAATTTCAATAACAATTGTAAATTTATTTCTTTAAAAACCAAACCAATAATATAACAACAAATAACGCATATCAAACAAACAACTATAGGGGCATGTTAAGTAAAACTCCTAGTTAATTCATCATCGAAGAAATTTGTACCTTAGTTTTTCTCACCCTATATGCGGGGTAAATTGAGACGGCTAGGAGGCAAACAAGTCTAAAGTCTTATTTTAATTTTGAAGAGACTTTACAAAATAATAAGTATATTATTCAACCAATGCAAAATATAAATTTTATAAGTACATTTTTTACAGAAGTAACACTGTATATATATAAATTTGATCTGGTATTTTGTCAGAAATATTCATCAGCTGATTTGGAAAATCTGTTTATTTAATTTATCTATTGTAAAATTACTTTTTTCAACTGAATTTGCATTTTAACTTCCCGTAGGGTAAGTTATAGTAATCGCAAAAAAATCGAAAATCGTTTCAGAGGTTTTTGAACATTTTGGCATACCTTAGAAAAAAATGGATGTATGTGTGTGTTTGTAACTGTTTGTGTGAATCTGTGTGGGTGTGCGGTTGTAAATTTTCGTCGACGATTTTGAGAACACTGTTCAATCGATTTCAATTATTCAAAAAACATTCGATTGCTATTAAGCAGGTCTAGCCGTTTCGAAGATACGGGGCAAAAAGTGAGACAAACGGTAACTCAGTTTTCAAGAGAACGGAGCGTCCGATTTTAATAATTCAAAAAACATTTTACTTGTATTGACAAGATGAAGAATTGATCAAATTTTCATGAAGGCAGGTCGAGCGGTTTCGGAGATCTTGTAAAAAAAGTCAAAAATATGGAAAGTTCCAGCAATTTGCCTTAAGGCACGATGCCATACGCCCCACTAGTTATTTACTATTTTTTATTGTTTAGCTAGTCTTTGTTACCCCATCCACGCACAAACTTTAATATAGGTTATATAAAAAACTGTTGAATCTAACTTAAAATTAATAATACATCTTAGAATAAAATTAAATAACGTATACTGAAAAAATATATTAAAGTAAACTAAAGTTACTAAAACATACAAAAGACATCGTAAGAATTAAGGTGATAGCTGATCACACATGTTATTCCCTCTACTTTCAAATATTGTTTTTATAAAATTCATAACTTTACGTGTTTTTAAGATATCGGTAGTAAACCTTTATACCCGCGTGCCTTTATGCCTCGCCCCACCCTATGTGAATATGAAATCAAACTATTGTTAGTTTGAGTGATTTCATATTTAATTACAAATTTGTTTGGAAAACACTACTATTTTTTTAATTTATATTAAACTTTCATCATAACTTTTTCCATTCTTCCAGACTACACCGACACCGCTGCCCTGTGGTTATCGGCTTACGACGCCGAAGACTTCGAGGACCAAATCCAAAGTATCCTCGACGAAGTAAAGCCTTTGTACTTGCAATTGCACGCGTATGTTCGAGGAAAACTAAGGAAACAATATTCTTCTAAAGTTGTATCTCAACGTGGACCCATTCCAGCACATTTGTTAGGAAATAACTGGGCACAGACATGGGAACAAATTCCTGATATATTGAAACCGTATCCTGAAGCGGCCGATGCTGATGTTACCGACGAGTTGGTGAAACAGGTAAATTAAAACAAAAATTCTTTCAAATTTAGTAAAGATGTTTCCGTTTCTTCTTACGACTGCATGATTCATTTTCATTTTAAATTTAGTTTGATCTCTTCTCATGAAACCGAACTTTATAAGTGTAATTTTTAAGTTGCTTCAATCATCCAAATTATTTGGTTTTTGAACATATCTACAAACATGCATGCACAAATTCAATTGTATAGGAACTCACACATAAATATCATTTTTTTAGGTAGTGCACGTAGTACATCCAAATTAATCTAATATGTATATGTATACAATTTATGTGCTTCAATATTACCGATAATTAATGAGCATATCTTAAATTAATACAAACTCAAATTAATAAGTAAACGATATCTTGATTATGAATTTATAATTTTTGTGATAAAAATTTTATCATAAAATATACATTTTTACTATCATGTTATGTTTCATAAATCAACCAAGAGCTTATCGTTAAAGCATAACATTTTTATAACGTGCCGAAAAAGAAAATGTTTTATTATCCTATATAAAATAACATCAAATAAAATATCAATATCGCGAATTAAGCAATCGAACGGCAATAGTATCGGAATAATTTATGCCTTAATTACGAAACAAAATGATAACACTTTTTATACAATAAATACTGCCTTACCTTGTTATATTATATGTTAATCAAAAAGAAGATTTTAATTAAGGCAATTTTATTTAAGGTAAGTTTCATGAACTACCCGAAATGTGTATGAATTAACTTAATCAATCGAAATTGAAATTTAGATATTTATTAAATGAAATTTTCAACTGTTTATTTCAAAAATAAAGTTATCGCTTTCAATTAAATCTAAACACTGCGATTTCGAGTGAGTTTTCTCAAAAATTAACTGTAATTATATTAGTTTGTCGCTTATTATTTTAAATTTTAATGAATTGATAATGTTTGACTCATCACATAACAAAAGCAATTTCTGACACAAATTTTGACTATAATATTTTATCAAACTTTGATGAATTTTTAACATTAAAGTATTTATCGTAGGGCCGTAATATTGTAGTATGTTTTATAAGACCATGGATATCTATTGCTAAAAAAAGGTTAATAAAATTCAGCAAAAAAATTTTTTCAACAGTTAGTTTCAAGAAAAGGGCTCGTAGATTTATTTATTTTTAATCATTATCTTAACCAATATCTTTCGAAAGGTTTTTAATTTTTAAGGTGGACGAAACATTTTCACTTCTCTGCTATTTACAAAGAAACGGCTTAGCCGATTTTCGCACAAAACTGAGAAAAGATAATTTACAACCACATCCAAATACATCGATTGGCTTTTATATTGTTGAAATCGGTTCAGGCGTTTAAGCAAACGTCGTCGAAAGGTCTAACTTTGACAAACGCCGAAAAACGATACTACTTTTTGCTAACTTTGACGAATTTTTAAAATTAAACGACTTGTCGTAGGGCCTTAATATTTTAATATGATCTATAAGACTATCGTATCTACCGTCAAAAAAAGTTCATGAAAATCGTCGAAAAAAAAATTTAACACTTTATTACAAGAAACGGCCCGGTCGATCTTTACCAAAAATTAATCAGGTCGATTTCCAACCAATGTACTTCGAACGGTTTTCGAATTTTTAAAATCGATTCAGAATTGCAGGCTAAAACGTGGACAAAAACTTTTTCACTTTTTTGCTATTTACGAAAGCTGATCGTCGCGCAAAATTGATAAACACTAGTCTTCATCGAGATACATCTAATGACTTTTAAATTTTTGAAATCGATCCAGCCGTTTTTGAGAAAACGTCGATTTACGGCAATAAAGCTATTCTCATACACACACACATACATACTTTTTTCAAATTTGGTCTCATTCGATTCAGAATGACTTGAAACGACGAGAAAACATGAAATTAGTGAATCGGATTTTTTATGAAAACATAAACTTCTCCTTCGGGATGTTAAAAAGTAGTGCCTTGCGAATGTGTATAATTCATAAAATATAGTAGATATTAAACAGAGGAAATTTTATGAAAAAGATGTAATATATCATATATAGATGCATAGTACAAGTGCACATCCATTTACCTAGGGACGTCCATTAATCACGTGATCGATTTTTTAAGGATTTTTGGACCCCGCCTCCCCCTTGATGATTCGTGGTGATATTCAAAATTATTCCCCCACCCCTACAAAACATCACGTGTATTTTTAGTTTCAAGATAATATCATTTTCAAAAAAAATATTTGGATTTTTTTTAAAAAAATCAAGTAAAAAATGAATACACGTGATATTTTACTATGCCCCACGTGATATTTCGTGATTTTTTGTCACACCCCCTCCCCAAAAAAACCTCACGTGATTAATGGACGCCTCCTAATGTGATATTAAATGTAATGAAATTACATTAGGATTTTTTAAATCCTTAAACATAAAAGATGTTCTATTTTCAATTGCAATAACTTATTATGCATCTATGTTCGACATCTATTCTCCATGGTACGTAACAAATGAAACCATTCACAGCGACCTCAAGATGAAAACGGTACATTTAACTTTCCAAGAATTCAAGGAAAAATACAAACGCAAACTGGACTCACATTCGAACCCATCTATAGTTGAAATTACTAAACCTTATGGTACAAGGAGATTGAAACGACAATGGCCTTTAGACTTATGGACCGATTCTGCGCATAACAGAGAAATGTTACGGCATAGCTATGTTACGCTCCGACTCCCATACATTATGCGAATGAATCATACTGAATGCTGTCAAAATATCATGTATTTGCTGTTCATTCCGGCGTTTTAAGCATAAACTGCAACGTCACTCGTATGTTATCTAAGAGGAATCAGATACACACACTTATCTAACATAGTTTTTTTGACATTTGTGCGGCTTTTAGGTTATGTTTTGCATCAAAAAACCTGAGAAATTCGCCTGACTGAACACCAACCGCATAACTTTTGTCTATATTACTATGGAAAATTCTTCATAACATGACCTTATCATAACATTGCGGCAGAATCGGTCCCTTAGTCTCAGATTAGGTCTAATATAATATTATTATAGTAATTGTTAAACTGAGAAGATCTCATTGGAGCTCTTCTTAGGCATCGCTCTTACATTGTCATTTTAGCTCATAGGAATCTTTATGTATTTCTGATTGCTAAATAAAACGAGTTAAAAAAAATGTTTGACAGCAAGTTAATAAACTTGCTCGTGGACATAATTGTATTTGCATCTAATAATTTGCCTCAATATCAAATTGCAGAACTACACCGCAAAGAAATTATTCGAACTGGCCGACGACTTCTTCAAGTCGATCAATCTGACCGGCGTGCCCCCGTCTTTCTGGGAGCGGTCGATGCTCGAGAAGCCCACGGACGGGCGCGAGGTCGTGTGTCACGCGAGCGCCTGGGATTTCTCCAAAGACTCCGATGTCAGGTGAAACACTAGAAGGCGAATTGCCAAAGCGAAAACATCTGACATTTATTATTACTGTTTGCTCTGACGTAATTGAAATGTCATGAATTTACGGTTCTCTTACGTTTAATGGACGATCCTTCGAAATTAAATGTCAACAAATATCGAAAAAGTACACAAAATTCAAATAAAATAAAGAGACGCGATAGATGTGTGCTTTTGATAAACAAAGAGATAACATAATATTTGTTGAACCGCTTTGCAATCATTTTTGCGCGTAAAATATTATTTTTTCTAGAATTTGAAATAGCATTGAGCAAAAAATTTTTTTCGCGTATTAATAAGAATCTTATTAGATATAGTCATATGAAGGGTTCGCCATCTAGGCGCTTTTTTTCAACTAGTTTCAGTAGTTTTTACTGCATGGCCAGCTGAGACAGCCATTTGAATAAAATTATATTCCATAAAAATATAGTATCATTTATATGCATATGGAAGGATTGTACTTTCTAATAAAAAAGCATTTGAGAAAAAAATATAATGTTATTTGGCGGACCCTGTATGTATATTCCCTAGTTAACAATGGGATGCCATTTTTTAAACCGTTTTGTAAACATTTTTTGTATCATTATTTTTAACTAGTATACGTTAGCAATCTTTATATTTATCAGTATTTGTTAAGTGAACCCAAGTTTTAAAATAAATTTATGAAACTTTCCATGTATAAACTAAAATTATACAATATTAATTATATATAATTAATAAGCAAATTATATAAAATTAATAAGCAAATTTAAATTTGAAAATAGTAAATTTCAAACGATTTTTGATTAAATTCTGCTTTTAGCATTTTTTTTCAAATTTCAGATTATGATAAAACTTATTATACTGCTTTATAAAAAAAACTTAAAGCTTTAATGCTAAAAGTAGAATATAATAAATACATATAAATATATGTATATATTTAAGAATATTTATATATATATATATATATATATATATATATATATATATATATATATTGTATGATTCTGAAATTGATGTTGACATATGTATTAACAAAGTCTAGTAATCGGGTATAACATCAATAAAAAACATGAATTTCTTTCAAAAATTTATTTTAAATCCATACGTTTCAGCTCTAATCCTAGCCTTCATTCAATGAAAAATTAGTTAATCTTAGTGTTAAATTGAACACTGTTGTTGATGTTATGCCCGATTACTAAACTTTTTTATATATATATATATATATATATATATATATGTGTGTGTGTGTGCGTGTGTGTGTTTGTGTGTGTGTGATAGATTTTACATATCTATATAAATTTATATATGCATAAATTTACATATATGCTAATCAACACAATTATCAAACAAATATGTTTCTTCGGAATTCACAAAAAAATATGTACGTTATTAACATTCAATTTAAATAATTTGACACCTTGCAATTTGTTGCAGCATATAATCTTAAAACATTGCTAAACATTTCAAAAAAGATAATCTCTCTTCAAAATTATATTTAATACGTAAGAGAGCTAGGGGCTCGTTGCAATAGATTTTTAAAATTAATATCTCTTGAGATTCACTAATTATATTTCTACAAAATAAAAATGGATAGTTGCTGTAACCCTACTCGTCTACCGATTTTTTTCATAGTTTTATTGTCAATCAAAATAATATACATTTTTAAAGACAATATGCTGTTGGTGTTAATGCATTTAAGAGATTATCTTAAATGCATCTCTCTTATTTTTATTTTTGACATTTTATTTAAGATCATATGGCCATTTTTTTTCAATCTTCGTGTGGGATATTCCTCGCTTAACTGTTTTAAATATATGTTTGGGTGACTTGGTAGTTTTTCGTGGTATTTTTTGCTCCTTTCTTTTATCATGTCTACCGAATTAAGTAAACATAATTCCATAACTATAGTTCATTATTTTACAATTATTCATTTTTTTGAGAATTTGTCTTTGAGGCAAGTTGTAATGTCTTTTCAACTGCTCCCGGGTGTTTTTTATATTAAAAATATTTTAAAAAAATTGCAACCACAAAAATCGTTACACCTTATCAAAGATCGATAAATTTGAAACAAAACATGATATATACAATTTAAAATAAGTCTACAATAATAACGCAAACCGAAATTTAATATTACCTGTCGAAAATGATGGACCTGCACAGTCCTGTTTATTGCGTCGGCCTGCAGGACATTAGCTATGACAATATACGCAAGACGGATTTCATGTCCAATTGAGACAATTTTTTTTTTTTAATTCTTAATTAAATCATTCAATATCTTATTGAAAAACGCCTGTTACTAGTTACCACTCTTACATGTAGCCCTTAGCTCCTTTATAGAATAATGTAAAAGATAAATATCTTTATGAATTTCAAAATTTTTATTAATATTTCTAATAATATTGTTTGAAATATGTGTCTAGTATTATGTAATATGATTTTTTGTAGAATTAAACAGTGCACAATAGTGGAAACCAGCGATTACCAAACAGTACATCATGAAATGGGTCATATTCAGTATTTCCTCCAATATGAACATTTGCCGCTGATATACAGAGAAGGAGCTAATCCAGGTTTAAACTATTGAAAGACTTAAGAAGTTTGCAAACCATTACTGTAAACTATAAATGCACAAAAATAACAAAAATTTCGTACATATCAAAAAAAAAAAACAAAAACTCTTTTTTATTGCTTCTTTTTGGAAATTTTATAATATTGATTGCATTATATTATGAATTTTTTTTTTACAAATTAATTTAAAAAACTTAATAGAAACTTTATTTTAACATAAAATTTCCAATCCGAACATTTTATAATTTTCTGTATGTATTTATTCTTATATATACTATTACCCTTTACTAGTTATAGTACAACACCTTCATTCAATTCTCTCAATACATATATGCATTTTCATCTTTATTTATTAGAAAAACAAATTAGTATTTGTGCATTTATAGAATTTTGTTTTGCATATTTCATTTATCATTATCTGTAGCTATTGTAAATCGTACAGGCGATATCTGGTGTAAGTGCTGAATATGACATCAACCGTTTACAAAGATTGAACACTAAATTTAGATAAACGGTATTTCGGTATTAAACCTATTAACTTATACTAATTTTAGTAATAAAAATTTAACTTAACAAAGGTGTTGGCATCTGTCTAGTATTGTAGAATTAAAATCGATCGATATTTATAGAATCAAACAGTGTACACAAGTCGATACTAGAAGCTATCGGGTTGTGCATCACGAGATGGGTCATATTCAGTACTATCTTCAGTACGAGCATTTGCCAGTTATCTACAGAACAGGGGCTAATCCAGGTTCAATTATAAAAATAATATAATAACTGAATTAACATGATTTATTAACCATCTGGTCATCCTTAGTCCACTCGGCAGTCGTAGTAATTAATCGAATTATTACATCCAACCGGTCTTCCAAAACGCGATGCATTTTTGCATACATTGCCAGATTCTAATTTTTATAACTGGTTCTGGCGTTGTCTTCTTATGGACGTCAACAGCTTTAATATCTATTCAACAATCTTTATCGAATTTTTATGAACGTCAAATGCTCTTCTATAATGTGTTTCAGCAAAAATGGTCTTATTCAAATTCTACAAATTAGTTCTGGTCTTCCAGTGCTATCAATATCCTCCATACTTTCTGACAAAAAATATAATTTTTCTGCCTTCTTACTTAAATGGACACGAACCAATAAGCCAATTGGTGGTTTTTCTTCTCATAATTATAACCAATTTTCAGTCCTGTTTTCATTATTTTATATTTCAAGATTTATTCATCCTAGCAACAAACTACTCACATTTCTTATAATAATAAATGTATTATCAAGAGTTTCCATAAAAAAGCAAAATATACATAAAGATTTCACTTAAGCTTCTTCAAAACTTTACATACTTATTGTATTCACCGTATTCTACATAAATAACTTTTTAATTAAAAAAAAACAACTAACTGATATCTCCATTAATTAACGTATTGATGTATTTTTAAGCATGCAATTTATTTAAATAAATTCCTTACTTAAACAAGATAATTTGTATCCAAAATGTTTTTAGTATCAATTTTAGTAGTTTTTAGAAAAGTAAAGTTTTGTAAAAAAAATATTGGTTTTCTAGAATTTGTTTAATTTTTCTGGAATATGGATTAAAAAAAATGGTAATTTTTCTACTTTCAATTATCTATCTGTAACATAAGTATGCAGAATATTAATGTAATATTCTATTATAAACCTAATAACATCTTAATATAATATGTATATTTCAAAAGTATATATTTTTCAAAAATAACCAGTATAATAAATTATAAAATCACTTGACATTCATCTCTTAAGTCATCAAGTATATATTTGATTTTATAATAGAGAAATAAAAATGACTATTTTTTAGGATTCCATGAGGCAATTGGGGATACTATTGCCATGTCTGCAATGACTGCCAAACATTTACGAAAACTTGGACTTATCAAAGATGATGAAAACAAACCAAAAGACGAAACTAAAGACAGAATTAATCTGTTGATGGCTACTGTAAGTAGAAACCAATAATAATAACATAGAGTTATTTGGTTTACAAATTAGAAAAGTAAATTAGTTAGAAAGTAGTGATGCTTAACATTGTGCCTTAAGACAAATTGCCTTAACTTGGCGTACCATAATTAATACGAGGAATAAAAATAATTAACAACCAATAAAATATTATCAATAATATATAATTATTATTTCATTTTTCAGGCTTTAGATAAAATACCAATTTTGTATTACTCTTTCTTGTTGGACAAATTCCGTTTGAGCACATTCCGTGGAAATACCAAACCAGAAAACTACAACTGTTACTACTGGAAACTCAGGGAAGATTTACAAGGATTGGAACCACCAGTAGACAGATCAGAAAAAGACTTTGATATTGCTGCCAAATATCACATATCTGCCGATGTTGAATATAACAGGTAAGACTAAATTGAACTATTGTTTTTTTAATTTTTTTTACCACAAATCTGATCAGCTGAAGATGAGCATGCTAAAAAAATATACTAACTCTGATGACATAATTATAGAAGTGTCAAATGCATATTCTTGTAAAAATGTGCCAGTCGTACTCGATTAATTAGCTTTGCCCGCCGATCAGTCGATCCGTTTCTTTATAAATGCAAAATTTATTGCATAACTTTAGAAGTTGCTAAATATTATTAATTATTTGCACACATAGAGATCTTTTCCAAGTTCTCTTAAAGCAAAGAGGCCATGAGTTTTTGATAAAACAATATTTCATGTCATGACATTTTTTATAGTTTTGAAATCTTAATTTTTAATACATTTTTTATAAAACAGAAATATTTTTTTATAAATTTACATATTTCTATAATAGAATTTATTAATCAGCAATTACTTCATTTCTCTAATGAAGCTTTATTTTTAAATGCTAATTACAATGACAAACCGATCATGCCATATTTGAAGTATGATTTTTGGATATACAATGCAATAAAATTTTCAGACATGGGTTTTTCTAAACTAATTAACAAAATTAAAATATATCAGGAACCCTTTCGTGTATCATAAAATAAAGCATATAAGTTTCTTAAGGGGTCGAAAGCAACAATTTATTAATTTGTACAAATTATTTGATGATAGAAAATTAGAGACCTTTTCCAACTTCTCTCTTAAAACAAGGTGTGGCTTACACCTAGTTTCTCAAAAGGTTTCATAATTTCTGGATATACTAAAAAAATCTCCAGAAATGTTTTTTTTTAAGTTGATTAATGAAACTGAAATATATCAAGAACCTTTTAGTGTCCCATAAGTAAAATATATTAGTTTCTTAAAAAGTCGAAAGCAACAATTTATTAATTTATACAAATTATTTGATGATAGAGAACTAGAGATCCTTTCCAACTTCTCTTAATTTTTGAATGTTTCGTAATTTTTGAATATGCAATACTGAACAAAATCTCCAGACATTTTTTTTAAGTTAATTAAGTTTAATTACCTAATTGTGTATTCATCAATTGCTTATTGAATCAATATTACCGTTTACTATTTTAGAAAATAAGCTATATTTAAAACATATTTTCTTCTATAAATTGAATAAATTAATATAAACATTTTCGAAAATATTCATTCTTACTTGGCATTATTTATTACGCCTAACGTTTATGTATGAATTGATTTATACATATATGAATAGAAATTCTTTAAGTAATTAAGGTGTGGTATTTAATATGCAAGAGATTATTATGCCATTCAGAAATAAATTATATAATTCATAACACGTTTATTGAAGCAAGAATGTATTTAGAGTTTACATTCGTGAATATAATGAAAACTATAATTCGGTTCTGGTTCTGGATCAACCAAAATAATTTATAAATTTCATTTAAACCCGCAAGTGTATACAAGATAATTTGTATAAAATGTGAATTCGATAATCGCCTTTTTATAATATAAGTATATATACATCTATTAGTTTTGGCATTAGTATAGATTATCAAATTCTTTACCAAATTAATAACCTTGAATTTAATGCCGCGTTTATATGGAAAAAAATATTAGAAATAATCTTAGAGAACGTAATTGTCTTACAATTGTTAGTTGAAATTAATAACATAATCATATTACACAATTTGGTCTTTTGTTGCATTTTATAAATATAAAAAAATCCAATGGTCGTTCGAATTAATAATAGAAAAAAATCAGCACACATTTTACATTTATGCATTATTTATAGATTTCACATTCACTCTTCTTTAGTTTTTGTGTTTTTTATGATTGTGAATATAATTTTTTTATATTTTATTTCAGATATTGCGTTGCCCATATCATTCAATTCCAGTTCCAAAGATCATTATGTGAGTTGGCTGGAGAATATGCCCCGAACGACGAAAATAAAAGGCTTATGGACTGTGACATTTACCAGAGTACAAATGCAGGAAACGCTTTGGGGTAAGAATAATGAATAATTATTTTTATTTATAAGTTCAATGTAAAAGATGACTCCATCATGGCATATACAATTTAGGACGTGGGCGAGTCCCAATTTCTCTCAAGCTCAATATCGGGCAGCATGTTCTCAAATTTGCATTTGAGGTTATATAACAATCATGATCGATATCGGGCAGCTTGATATCAATTTGCACTTGAGGTTATAGAATATGTCAAATAAAATTTGAATTGGAAATCGCTTTTCATAGACACAGCAACATTTTTCACAATTAATTTGGCAAACTAAAAAAACAACAATTTAAGATAGGTTGTACAATTTCTGAATATTTCTTGTGATACTAGTGATTTGATAGAGCACGGTAGTGCATTCATGAAAGTGCATCTATATATTTAATTACACTATTTGTCATTACTAAATCAACAATATATCATGTTGATTTCGAGCAATATATTAAACATCTGCTAAAAGGTGCCGCCAAAAAAACAGAGAATTTGAAGAGACAACAAAGCAATCAAAATTGAGGAAATCTCATCAAACCTTTGTGCTAAAAATAACTCAATTTAAAATTTAGCACATTGTTTTAATAGATTTCTATACATTCTTAGAATTTTATTTTTATACGATTTCTGTCTCAATATTATTAGTGGTGTTTGGGGTTAGACAGCTTCTTAGCAAGTCTACGACATGAGAGCACCACCCTGTTCTAATTCTTTTCCTTGATTGCGTATTGCAGAATTGCAATTGAATTTTTTACAGTCTAGGTACAAAAATATCTGCTTTAATGCTTTCAAGTATAACCAAAAATGTTCTTATTCAGATTTCGAGGGATATGAATGCTTTGGCATTTCCCTGTGTTATCTCTTCCAGCCAAGGTCGTTGAACATTTAAATTCTTTTCAACATTGACCATCCAGCCACTCTACTTTTCTTTCAATGTCACATGTAAAAGACAATCATTTTGTAATATATATTCAAACCAGTTTTTAATTCATTTCAAAATTGTACATCTAAGTGTAGTTCTCGTTTTATCTCCATTGCACTTACTTTAAGTTGTTTAATGATGTCCTACCAAAAATTGACGATACCACTCTTCTTTGTTCAAATGATACAATAAACATCTTATATAATGTGAAGATTTAATTAAAGTGATTTGTAAAATATGATTCTTAACATTCTTATTAATATTTTCAGAGATATGTTGAAACTCGGTAGATCAAAAACTTGGCCCGAGGCAATGACAGCTCTTACAGGACAACCCAAAATGCAAGCAAGTGGAATAATCGAATACTTCAAACCTTTGCACGATTGGCTTGTTACAGAAAATCAGAAAAATGGTGAATTTATTGGATGGGAACCAACTAAGAGAAGTATGTTGAAGAAAGTAGTAATTTATATGTAAACATTAGATATATAACATAAAAACTTTATATTATGATAATCTTTATATTTTATAATTTTTTCTCATCACCATTTGTTGGGCATAAATAAATTTGAGAAAAAATAATAATATATTTCTAATAATCGAATTTTTTTTCAGACTAATACGAAAATTAATTCATCTATTCATTTCCTTTGTCAAGAATTTATAATGATTCACAAAAATATATGGTCAAAGTACATGCTTAGCACATCAAAATCATAATTTATTTTATGACATTGTTTTAGATAAAGTTGTATTTATATTTCTTTTGCTTTTAAAAAATAAAATCTCATAATAATATTATTTTCTTTTATTTCAGAGTGCACAAGCAGCAAGGAACGCAAGTCCTCCGAAGAATAGTAAAACCACCTTGAAGAGCAAAACAATGACATCTAAAACACGTTGTTTATCTGTGTCAAATAATCTAATAAATGTTTTTTCTGTGTGACACAATTTTAAACTTACAGGTTTTAGTATGATAAAACCGTAAATCACTGTTTTAATTAGCAAATCATATTTTTTATTGCTAAAATGAATGTCCTTGGCATGTACCTTAATATTCCACCGCATATTTTGCTTGATGAATGTTTAGCATCATAGCATAAATATATGTTTTAATGAAGGTATGTGTAAAATAGTTCTGAATAAAAAGTTGAACTATTCATATGAATTTTTATTTACGTACTTCTTAGCATTTGATATACTTAATTGCACCTTATCATAGATGACAAAAATTAAACAAAGTTTCAATGTAAAGCTAAAGTTATTGATCAACCATTAATTAAAATTGTTTTAAATATTTTAATACGAAAAATTCTTCATTTTTAAATCATTCTATTGATTCTTCGTCTTTTCAAAAACTGTTTTTTTGCACTTTTTGCTCTGTATCTCTGAAACTACTGCACTAAACTTTGCCAAAAACTAATCAGCCCTTCATTACGAATCGAATGTTTTCTTAATTATTTTCATCAGATTCTCTCAAAAACTGCTGCAAATCATTCAAATCGGTTGATTCGTGCTCTCGAAATCGTGGATGAAAAATTGAAGTCGTACATACATACACACACACCTCCACATATACATTATTTTTTTATGATATGCCAAAATGTTTAATTTTTGAATTTTTTGTGTATATAATATAAATAAAATTCACTTTACAGCTCTAATTAAAATATAAATTCCCTTATTAATTATGAATATTAAATATTATGCATCACATTCAGTTTCTTCTTGCATTTCTCGACTGTATTATTAATTATTACAAAACAAAGCGGTTCGTCTAATCAGAACTATATAATTTTGTTATATAAATATAAAGTATAAATTATTTTCAATTAATGAATCAGTTCATTTAAATAATAATCAACATTTATATTGAATCCTTGAGAATGTTGCATGCATTCACACATTGATAGATGCCTTGAATTTTGAGCTACAATAGATCTGTGTAATGCACGACATTGTACGAGTACGTAAGACTTATTATAAATAAAGGTAATTAGTTTAATTACTTGGTAGAAAATGTATATTTTACTTGAGAAAACAGGATACTAACTCTTAATTATCAGATTTTCTTACCATAACAAATATATTATTGGATAATTGAGTAATCACGTGGGAGAAATCTTTCCCGGCAAAAATTGTAGCATAAATATTACATTATTTAAAAAATTATTATATTCTGCTGTATATGTAAGATTACTACTTTTTAAAATATAAGTACTAACTTTATACATCTACAAGGAGACTAAAGTTAAAAAGAGGAATTAGAGTAACATGCCATCAAATCTCATAAAATAACTTTTTGAGATACAAGAAAAATTGGATAATTTGGATATGTGACAAAAATATATAATAAAATTGTACTTATGAAAAGTACAATTACTTTTAGTAATGTATTTTTTACTTGAGAAATATTTGATTTTTTATTATAACAAATATTTTCACATGATGGTATTTTTAAGTCCTTCAGAAGTTATATAATAAAACTAAATAACGATTAATCTAAAATTAATTTATAATTTGAAAAAAATCTTGAGTAACAACAATTTAGAATAATTGTTTCTATCATCAAGAATATATATGAAATGTCATATACATGAAAGACTAAAAGAACAATAGAATATTAGAATAACTTATTGTAAGAAATGTTCATAGCAATCTTTAATTAGAGTGGGGTGGGACACAAAGGTCCAATTTGATTTTGAGCAAGTATATTGTGAAAATCAAGCCATTTATATCACAACAAATAACACATATCAAACAAACTATCTGACTATAAGTAGTGAAGCTCCCAGGTAATTCATCATTGTAGAAATCTGTTTTATTTTTTGTTTTTCAAAAATTTGTTACCTGGTTCATTTAATTTTGAACGAATTCAAAACAAATTTCAAAAAAGAAAACAATGTTGCTTCGAAAAGCAACGTTGTTCCACCAATGCAAAGTAAAAATTATATTGGTACAATTTTCACTGAGATAATACTGTATATAACCTTGATCTGATATTTCGTCAAAAATATTCGTCACTGATGAGTCATCAGCTAAGTTGGAATAAATATTTATTTAATATATCTCTCGTATAATAGCTTTTTTTTAAATTAATTTACTTTTTACGTCTTTGCCTGGTTGAAAGTTCAGTTGGTCTTTTCTACCCCACTCATGTGTGAGCTTTTATAGAGATTATATAAAAAAAACTTTTGAATCTAACTTAAAACTAACAAAACATCATATAAAACTATTAAATAATGTATAATTAAAATTTTTATTAAGGTCTCGAAAACTAAACGCCAGTGTTCAAAACCAAAAAAACTAACAACGAAAGAAAATACTTTTATTATGGATTTTCAAACATTGCCGTTTATTTTGTACTGGTATCAAATATCATTGTTGAAAAATTTTTAACTTTTCTTGTTTTTGAGATATCGGTGATGAACCTTTTTATCCGAGGACTTTCAAGCCCCACTCTACCCTATGTTGGATATTTCTGAAACTAAACTAATTATATTGATGAAAGTTGTAATTTATATTGCATATGTTCAAGGTCAAGTTCGAAATAAATTATTTCTTAAAAAGAAAATTTTGTGCAATATTGCTAGCATACGAGTATACTACCTTGTGGTATTTCACTCTAATAAATGGTTTATAACATGGTCTTGTTGAAAAAAGAAGATGGTTTCAATTGTTTTCAACAAAAATCACAAAAACATAATTTTCACTGAAAAGTGTGACTTTTTGGCAGTATGGAAAATTGCATATGAAAAAGTTATGTAATAGGTATATATTTTTAAATGATAGTACCATTATGGAAAAAGCTAACAATGCTATTGCGGTCAGAGTGATAAACTGTAACAGTAGGTGAAGTGCAATCAAATTATCGTACTTTAACGGGAAAAGCGAATGTTACTGATAATAATTTACGCAAACCGCAAAACTTAACAAAAACATAAATTCAGAGACTGAATAAAGAACTCATCGAACTTTGTGTACGATATTTTATAATTATCAACAATAGTAAAGATCCAAAAGCTTAATATGACGTCAAAAATAGTTGATGAAATAATCTTTTTTGTCACACAATTGTATCACACCTTTTATACTTAAAATAATTATTATTGTATTGATAGAACAAACTCAGGGATGATATACCTGCATGTAGAAATCCGAACAAAATCGGAAGTGTTATGTACACATTCATAATTATTGAAATATATGTCTTTATCTGTCTATCTATCTGATGAAATAATTTAGTACCTTTTTAGATTTTAATTTTAAATTTATAATAAATTTTAAGCTGTTATTAAGAAAATAATAGCTCTAAACTGGCTAGAGTTTGCCGTGGTGGCAAAAATTCGTGGCCAGCTAGAAGACCCATTGCTAGCAAAATACACTAATTATTTTATATAGAAATGGCGGTTAATTTTGTATAATACTATTCATACAATTCTTAAAATGTAATTTCCTATTATCAACTATTTGTTGAATAAATTATTATTTTTTTTTGTAAATGTTTTAAAATAGATATAACTATTTACAGAACTACATGTAATACATTTGTTTTTTGTGTTTACCACTTGCGTTATCCAACAAAGGATTAATACTGTATTTAATAAGAATTTATTTCTTATAACTGAAAAATAAGACTAATGAAAAATATGAGAAATCAAAATAAATTGTACAACAATCATAAATCATGACGTTGAAAAGATTTTGGACCCGCTGCATCTAATTTATTGTTGATTGAAAGCTTTATTACAACAGTTAATAGACAAATAACATCTTGAATGGAATAATATTTAATTTATAATAAAATCCTATGCATTTTCAGATGAATTCTACAAGAATATCTATATGACTTGAAATATAGAGATGTGTTAATACTAATAATATCAGAAAAGTAATAAAATTCAGAGAAATATATTTAGAAAGTGTTTGTTATTAACCACAATCTTGGAAAATAGTAGTATGATGATATTAATGATAGTAGTATAATATTATAAGTTACAATTAAATATTTAATAATAAAAGCAAATTGAAATATAACCTAGAAACTTTGACAAATAGAGAAATGTTTTCCGAATGCAGAAGAAAATGTGGAGAATTAAAGGTACGTTTGTAAATGAGGATGTGCAAACCAATTCTATTGGATATGTTGAAAAAAAATGTGGAAAAAAATGTGGAAAAAGAATATAAACTGGACAAGTAGGCAAGAGTACAATAATTGAAAGATGATTGCAAATTTTTGACAAAATAATTTGTGTGACGAGAAGAGACAAAGATTTATTTAAATTCAAAAGAAAAAATGACATAACATTAGATATATAAAAGATACAAAATAAGAAAAAAATAGATAAAATCAGCAATTGGGCAGGATACTTATAATTATTGAGGGTTTACAAAATTTACAATTACTATACGGTTTTCATGTACTAATCTATATAAATAGTTAATTATGATGACAAACCGAACCATAAATGCCACTTTTAAAATGCTTTACAATTTCCAATTTAGGAAGTTGACTACAAATTTTATTGTAATAGCATAATATCATATCGACACTTCATGATGGTTAAAGCAAAACTTCAGAAAGTTTAAATAAGCAGTGGCCATTATTTAATATTTAGTTACTGATTTCCATTCCATTTATATTTATACTGCTATTTCGCAATTTGAATGTAATTAATACTAATCAATATATAAAGCTTCTATTAATGTAAGTAAATATTATTACATGCAAAAATTAACAAGCATATTATGCTCATAAATATATTTATTGGCAGATTTTCCCACGGTGTCTACATATTCAAATTAACCATATGTAATGAAATCAAGAAATATCCATCGAATACCAATTATCTTATCTATTACGTCTCTACATATTATACAATCCATTGATCTGTTTTGCAAAATGATGAATTGCATATAAATAACATCTGTATTGGTGCATTTGATCTTGTCAAACGAATAAATCGTGTTATTAATCGACTTAACAAGAATTTTCAAGGATAATTATGGATCCCTGTTGTTGAGACGTCCAAGGTAATTTCGTTCGAGTACAATACCGAGTGTTGGCAGCATTTATCCCACGGCATAGGTGGGGCCGAGGGGTCGACTAGACAGATAATATGCCCATGTATATATTTAGCGAGATATCGTAGAACTAGTGATGGAAAATAATCGTAATATTTCGATGTCACTGCTAGCAACGGGATATCCCTGAATTTTTTTCTCAAACTATCTAACTATCACCTAGCATTATTTTTTTATAGATTTTTATATATTTCCGGAATACATAGCATCACTAACAAGGATATAATATAAAACTAGCAGTGTATGGCATTGTGCCTTAAGGCAAATTGCTGGAAATATTTGAGAAATATTAAATATTTTCAAAGAGATTATTATAAATACTTCAACTTATATATTTTTACAGAAAAGTAAACAAACAAAACAATCAATCAAATTTAAAATGAAGGGCATTGTCCAATATTTATAAGAATTATATAAACTGAATAGCAAAGTTAAAATTATTTAATTGAAGTATATAAGTAATCTTTAAAATTTTAGCTAGAATTAAAAAAAATGAAATTAAATCTTTTGGTCAATACAAGCTGAAACTTCTTTGAATTATTCAAATCGGCTGCTTAGTCCTCTCAAAAATTGCAATTTTTAAGGTATCTCGAAAACGGCTGAACCTGCCTTTGCAGAAACTAATCACCATTTTACCCCGTCATCATAAATTGAAGGCTTTTTAGATACCTCCAAAACGGCTGGACCAGCCTTTGCCAGAAACTAATCACCACATCTCACCATGACTACAAATTGAAGGTTTTTTAGATAATTCAAATCGGATGCTTCTATTTTGCTCCGTATCCCACAAACGAATGTTTGCCAAAAACTAACTTTCATAACATACCATAAAAAACTATGCAGCAGGCATTATTATTGGCAGTACATTTATTTATTTATTTTTAACTAGCTGTATCTGCTAAAGCTGCAGAGTTTTGCAGAACAAATTTGCTTTGTTCGCGTGGATTTCCATTTAAAATATAAGTTTTTCTCAACTTAAAGTTCAGTTTTTGTATTTATCTTAGACGCAAATTGTTTTCAGTTTTTAGTATTACACTACTGGCCTTTGTCATGTTTTTGGATAGCTTTGATTTTTTAAATTATAATTAATGGGCGTACCTAAAAAGAACGAAAAATCTAACTCATAGGTATTTATGTATATCAGATTTTTTTATGTGATTTTAAATATAAATCTAAATAATAAAGACCGATGTTCTAAACTTATTATGATATAATTTAAAAAAAACAGCTAAAATTCAACTATGTCTAAATGTAAATAATTAAAATTATTTAATATAAAATTTATAAGATTATTAAAATATTTTGAAATAATACAACATGAAATAAAATTCAAAAACCAAAAAAAAATCAGAAACCAAAAAGAAAACTAAATTATCTAATTATTTTTTGTGCCAAATCTCATGCAAATGAAGTATTGGGTACAGCCAGTTTCTGCAATATAAGATAAGAAAAGATTTTCTTTCTACAATAAAAGTAACTTAAGTTACGTGCAATTGTATCAGCTACCAGCCAATAAAATTCCGGCAAAATCGGTCCAGCCGTTACGAAGATTATCCCAAAAAATAGACAGACAATATTTAAGAAAAATGTTAATTTTGTATGTGCATTCATTTTATGTTTATATGCATTTATTAAAAAAAGGTATATTTGAATAGTACAAACAGATACTCCAATTTTATTTATCAAAAAGTTATTTTTAAAACTATTACATAATTTACTGGCCAATTCTGCCTTAATATAGACCAATGCTATGGCAAGGCAATGTTCTTATTCACAAAATCTAACTTCTTGCATGCATTATTATGACACATTAAGATGCACTTATGATAAGATTCATTTTTTCAAGTTTGTACGTTTTCTAGGCGCGTGACTGCATAGCAATTACATAGTATTTTTACAGTTTTTAGTACCATTTTATGTGAAAAATGTGGTGTAATTGGCTGGTTAGTCTTTCTTTCCAGATTGTTGAATTGTCTACAAAACTTCTACCACCAATATAAAAAACGCATAAAAATAGCTTCAGAAAGTTGCTAGTACTTATGATACAATCATACAGTGTCATTTTGTTAAATTGGATTTCAATAAAATATTGGAGTATGCTTCCCAAAATTCAATACATCTTGTCCTTGTTATACCTGCAATTATTTATCTTACATAAATATATCTTATCCTTGATATTCTGCATAGTAAAAATTCTATAAAGTTATAAAGAACAAAACGCATTTCTATTATTGATTAGTAAAACGCATAAAATTTGCTAAGATTATAGTTAATAATTTTAGATCGAAATATTATTCAGTTGGACAGCACTAGTGAGCGATTAACTACCTGTATTGTTGTCCACACACATGACATAAACAGCACCCGCATGCGTCTCTTAAGCTTTGACACGGCCGCAAATATTACAGTCAATAAGAGGACAGCGTTAAATTAAGTGACCACTCTAATTTAGCCGAAAAATTAAATTTTTGAATTTTTTTTTCTAATTATTTAGATCTTTTATAAACTATCGGATGAATTCATTGAATAAATTTATTGTAATTAATTAATTTAAAGTGATTAATTATAGTGTTTGATTATCCAAAAACTTTCAATGTGATCTTAGTTCCAAAATGCTTCGATACAGCACCACGTTAATTTTACTAACTAATATATATTTAGGATCATCTATACCTCAATTAGATCTACCTCCTTACAATAGAACTGCAATAAGACCAGATATTTACACCAATAGTTACACAGGAAATTTCGACAATTACCGAGAAGATGATAGAAATGCGAATCCTTTCAGGGATCTCGGAGTTGTCAAAATTGGCGACACTTCACAAAACAATTACGGAAACGATGATCGAAATTCTGATATAGACTACTCTGACCGCGATAGAAACATCGGTAATAGAAATCTAGATTATCCAAATGGCAACCTAGATCAGATGCATCCAAATCATAGATATCCTGCAGATAATAGGGATGCTTATAATAGACAAGATGAATATGCCAATAACGGCAGAAATTATGGATCTCGCGATAGAAACTTCAGACCAGCTGATAATGGTAATAATTATCCGGTGAATAATGGTAATAATTATCCGGTGAATAATGGCAATAACTATCCAGTGAATAATGGTAACAACTATCCAGTGAATAATGGTAATAATTATCCAGTCGATAATGGAAACTATCCTGGAAATGATCAGAATTACAGATACAATGGTCAAAGGAATAGATACAATAATTTTTCGAGTCGTTCAGGAGATGATTTTTACAGGGGTGTAGATAGAGATCGCGATTTTGATCGAAGAGATGAAGCTTATAATAGGAATTTACAGGCCGTGAAGAGGTATCTTCAACAAGTTGATTTGCAGTCGTCTCAGGAATGCACCATAAATGTTGCAGCGCAATGGGATTTTGAAACTAATGTTAATGAAGTTACACAATTGGCAGCGGTAAGTTTAATAAATGATAGTTTTATAGTAGTATAGTATTTACATGAATAATTCTCAAATTGACACTACTTTTAAGGGTCTGTATTACTTTCTCGTTTAATTGATATGATCAATTCAAAGAAAAATAGAAAATTTAATTAATAATAATCAGATAAAAATATGTTGACAATCTTTGCAATTGGAATTTAAATTAGGAAATGAAAAATTTATATAGCCTCTAAAACTTCTTTAATTAAAGAATTAACTTTTTTATTCAAAATAGGGATTCGTCAAGTCTTCTAGCAGTTTAGATTAGCTCTGAAATATTCAGCGGTTCATTGAATGTTGAATTGTTTCATTTTCATTAATGTTAAACAGGTCAATTCAAACAAATTTTTCAAAGAAAGCATTACTCTAAAATAAATTTTGAGCCAGCGAAATTTTCAATACAATTTTTCTCCATATATTCAAATATCAACTTACAAAAACCTTATGTTTACTTGCCTGGGAGTTTGATGAGATATTTCATAGACCTGTTATATTTTATGAGAAATGATTACTAACTATTCAAAGTTTCATTGAAAAACAATTTCGAGCTAAGGTTTCTTCGTCAAAGTATCTTGAAAAAACTTCGAGCTCAATGATTAAAAATGTTATCCTTACATCTAGTCACAAGTTTATTTGCACGTGCAAAATTTTAATTGTTGATAATAATTACAATTTATTAAATGCTTAACTAGTAATAAGCTTGTCATGTTTTTGTTTTAAATTTACTTACTTACTTACTTTACTTGTTTTTGTCTCAAATTTACTTACTTATTATTTATACAACAATCCTCAAAGAAAAATATTATATGTATATTTTCATTAACAAATTATCTTTCTCTCTATATAACTACTTGTTTGTCGTAATATAGGCTAATGTGCATTGATTTAATATTTATTCAATAATAGAAATAACGTAAAAATATTATTAAGATAGTACTAAAAATCTTGAGACAATATAACCTGTAATAAATGTTCATATTGTTCTTTTCGTAAATTCCTGTAAAGTTCTATAAAATTCAGTTAAAATCATATTTCGAGCTACACCAATTTGTCGATATCAAAGTGAAAGTAAAATGCCAAAACTAAACCAAATCATTTCTGTTCTCAACCTCAAAATAACGAAAATCAAATTTTCCTTCCGAAAGGTCAACAATTTCAGTAATCTGCGTGATTAAGCGAAAATTAAACAAGAGACCAGCCAATTCTTATTTTCAAAATATTCTCACATTCAATTCTCATAGTCAATTGTTCTACATGATACCTATATTGAATTTTCGACTGGATAATAATACATTTTGTTGTTTATAATTTGTTATATGAAGAGTTTTATGGTCGACGTTTGTGCAAACATTTATACTTATTTTGTTTCGGCTATTGTTTTACGAGAGATCATCGTACAAAGAACATTTGCAAATAATGGTTATTAACAATAATGAAACATAAATAAACTAATTGTCATCATCGTGATATGAAATGCATATTTGAATTGTATGTACTTTGATCAAAATCGAATAATAAATTATTTTGATGCATTCTTCCGATTGTCTGTAATTATAAAGGAGCTTGTCCTACTCTAATTGCTTCAAAAATTAATTTAATCATTTTAAAATCATAACAAGTCAGCACTATTAGAATAAAAGTCTGTTCTAAATTTTCCTTGATTATTATATAGGGGAGAAAAGGTGCTTGTTGTAACAGTTTTTCTTTTAAATTAATACTCCTTAAAATTTACTGCTTATTATTCAACGATATAAAAAAGAGATGCTATAACTATTCCTCTACCGTACCCAGAAAAAATAATTCTTTGTTTTACATCTTATCATTTTTTAGAAAAAGTGTTTGGGGTAAGTTGTAACATCTATCGGGAAAGTAGAAATGACAAAAATGTAATAATACTCTAATTTTTAATGTAAGTAAAATATATATGGCCTCCTGTAACACAATTTACTCATGTGCTCATGTCTCGCAAACTCTATAGTTAACTCAATGATCTTTACTTGAATTTGTATATAATTCTTGTAAACAACTAGCTCCAAGTGTTTATTTCAACTAACCCCATGCGTGATTTTTTTACATTAATCAAGATAACTATTTAAACGATTTAGAAAGCTCAAACATTATTACACAATATCAAAGATTGATAAATTTGAAACGCAGTAAGATATATAAAATTTAAAATTTGTTGATAATAATAAAGCAAATCAAAATTTTATGATAATACAATTTTATATTATATGTCAAAATTGACGGACCTGCACAGTTCTGTACATTGCGCCGAGACGTTAGATATTACAATATTATCCAGGACGATTTACCTGTTTAATCGAGTCAAAAAATTTTTTTAATATCGTTCAAGTTCTTATTGGAAAACGCCTGTTACTACTTACCCTTGTTACAATAAGTTCCTAGTTCCCCTTTTCGATCAAAACCTGATATTGGACAGCGTCACAAAAATTAGATAAATTTTTATTTGAATGTAATATGAAATTTCATGAATTACGTATGTAAACCTTTTTAATCCTTTGGACCAAAGGATTAAAAATGTTTACATACGTAATTCATGAAATTTCATATTGTACAATAAGGCTTTGGTACAATATAGCAGATTTCATTCAACCTTCAGTCATCGAACAAATCGCACATTTTTAGCAAAGGCATGAAATTCATAGAATGCAGAATCAATTAGTTAATGATAGTTATGCTTTCTTGATTATGTTAATAAAACAGTAGTAATAAAAATTCCAGCAACTATATTTCACGGTTATAGATTTTATTGTCTTTATATGATTTTATTTTAACAATGCATTAGTGTTTATTTATTTATTTAAAACTACAATTTGTTTTTTAAGATTACAATGTTGCAGAATAAATATGGTTCTATGACCTTATTGCGAACTATTAATGTTTAATGATAAAAGTATGAATATCTTTGATTTTATTTTTTCTATTCTATTATTATTTAATATTCATAAATATCAAATTTAATAAAAATGTAAATAAAATCAAATTCAAACTAATGGTGTATGGAATCGTGCCTTAACTCAAATTGCTAGAATCCGTACCATGATTATTTAAAAAATTTGAAATTTTTTTTTACAAAAGTAATCTTTTCGTCAATACAAGTGATTTGATGGAGAGGTATCTCCGGAATGACTAGACCTAAAATCTAATCCCCACTTTACCATAATTACGAATTGAATGTTTTTTGGATCATTCAAATCAAATGCTCTTTTTCTCCAGAAGCTCGTTTTCTATTACGATTTGCAAAAATTTTCAATTTCGATTTTTGGGCAATTACAATAACTTACCCTAAGGGATGCTAATAAAATTCTTTTTCTTATATTGACATGAGAGCCCATCTAATAACTAATTATACAAACTCTTTTACTATTATCTTTGACTAGGTTTCTAAAACCACGAGCCAATTATTCATTTTTTTTCCAAATTCGTTTAGTGTAATATATATTTCTAAAGCAAACTGCTTCAATACAATAGAAAATTGTTCCGAAATATGTATCCAAATCAGTATCCTTTTTATTCTAAGGAAATGTTTAATTACATTGATCTATTAATACACAAAAAATATATCCGATTTAATATAAGGATATATTTCCAACTTAGTCACTTGACATATACATTTTTTATAACACTGAACTTACATACTTTTTTTTACTTATGAAAACGTAATAATCTTGAACTTGAACTCTAAAAAATATGTTCATTATATTTAATTTGTTTATTTTTCGTAATCATTCATCTGAGTTCTGTTCATTAAACAGATATTTTTCAAAACAAAAATTTGATTTTGTTTGAGAAAAATAATTATTTTTGGTTGTTTATAAAGATCAATTTACTCTATAGTTTTAATGCCAATTATATCTGAATTAGTCTGCACGACCTGAAAGCTAGTTCAGTCTCTTGTTCATTATAAAAATGTCTATCAATACAAAAAATATTTTTTTAAGAAAAAGTTATAATCTTTTAAAAGTTATGAACTACGATTCGGGATGAAATTTCCATGTTTGCGCTAAAATTAAAAATGAATGATGAGGCCAATCTAAAATATAAAAATAAAAAGGCCAACCTAAAAACTAATCATTAAATAATAATATTTTTTCGGAAGCTGTTTTAAGAGACCATCGACGAATGGCCAAAAGTTGACTACTTGCACAAAGTTTACAATTTTGATCCCAAACGATTCAAAATGACCTGTAACCTCCTCCAGAGAATATAAAATTAGCAAATTGGATTTTCAGACGTGAACACGAACTCCTTCTTCAGGAAGTTAGAGAAAAAACTTCCTGTACATAACAAAAAATCTTGATCAGCCATATTTAGTCTCCCTTTCCTTATAAAAAGAACCTCTAGACTTAGTTTATAACCAAACGTTGGTCTAGTAAATAGAGATCTATTCTAAAGCTTTTTGTGTACAAACAACATTGAATTTCCATTAAATTCCTTCCGTCTGACCCATTTTTGGCAATTGCACTTAGGAAGTATGACATTGGCATGTTTCCATCGTTCTTCATGGCGTCTTAACGACGGATTCAATTTCATAGAATTGTATGAACTTATGGGAAAATCTTATGCAAGATATCGCCTCAATGGTTTCGGTGACCTATTCTTGTGATTAACAACGCTTTGTACTTGTTCCAGTTTTGTACTGACCCTGCACTGGATTAATGACTTATTGATATTTGCATTAAATATTTACATGACGTAGTAAGATGACGTAAAATAGATTTTCATTTTAAGACGATCTTAATCCGTTCTTAAATTAAAACATATTTTGGTAGTAATAGACATATATTGTAATGAATGAGTGTAGTTTTGTTTGTATAATTGTATGTGCACAATTGCTTTATAAAATTAATCTGCTTGATGCTAAACGCTTTGATGTCTAGAGACAAATTAATGAAACTTTATAACTTGTAAAGAAATTAAAAGATAAAAATCGGTCTCTACTTAAAATT